ATTCAACATTCTTTGTTTTGTCTCTTCTGATTTAAATATACCAAATGAAAAATTGAAGTCTTATCCATCACACCCTCTTTTTAGAGGAATTCGATTAAAGTTAATTATGATACATCAAAATTGAAAAGTAAATGGAAAGTACAAAAAAAACTAAAAATTATCATTATTGTTTATTTATTTGTTGTACAAAATATTGTCCATGCAGTTTCCTTGAATTGTGCCTCTAGTTGTAACCTTGTAGGTTTTTTGGTTACTTCGTAATTATTATTGATTTAAAACACCCATGCAAAGTTGCGACGCTTTCTAAAAATGAAAAGTGAAAGGCAGAGCATAAAAATTGTTTTAAAAGCGAGATCTAGGTAAAACATTCAAAATCTGTAATTTTGAATGTTGGTACCAGGTTCGATGACATGCAAGCTTCATGAAAAGTTATGTGAAAAGAGGAAAGCCAAAGTAGTTCTGCCAATTTCATAGAACTTTATAAGAACTTCTTAGAACTTTTACAAACATCTAAGAAATTTGGAAAAATTTCCAGAGAAAATTTGCAAACTTCAGAAAAGATCTGCGGAATAAGACGACCTTAGAAATTCTGGAATTAAATACAAACTTCAGCATAGTCCTGCAATTTTCTTAGAACTTCGCTGAGCTTCAAAAAAAAAATTAATAACAATCAGAGAAGTTCGCAATGCCACACAATTTTTTGTTTTAATTTCGGAAGCTCTGCTTACATTTGATTTTTCTAGAACTCGAGAAGCTTCTCAAAGGTTTACATATCATCTCTAACCATCATTGACTATTGCTGATGTTTGCTGAATTTTTGAAAAAAAAAATCAAATCTCATGTGAAAAAACACAGAATGTGAAGCATTTTGAACTTTTCTGAAGGTCACATGCATGTTTTGAAGTCCACAGATGTAATTATTCCAAAGGACTTCAATTGATCAAATACCAGCATCATGTTCTCTGGATATTTTGGTTATTCTTCTTGCTGATTTGTAATTATTATGCAGGTTTCTAATTATTCAATAGATAACATCGTGATTCAGATATTCTTTCGATTGATCAGGAATTAGTTCAAAGACCTGTAATTGATCAATTATCTGAATCATGTTCTATTGATATTGCGCCAATTCTTCTGATTGATTAGTAATTATTATGAGAATTTATAATGGTACAATAAATAAAATCATGCCTCTAAGATATTCTTGCACAAAAGTCGGATTACCAGGAATTATTTAAAACAAACAGCCTTGGCAGCTAATGACCAAGTAATACAAATTCATAGAATTATGTTGAGTAAACTTCTTTACAACCGAAATGAGTCGTACAAATGTTATACAAACTGCTATTGAACATGTTTGTTGCTAGGGTAAGTGCTTTCTAGCAACACTGCCAATGTGAGCATTTTAACAATATACGTTCGAATTGCGGATGATTGCCTCATGGTTGAATTCGTCGTCAACTGATGAGCATCCATATGGCTGTCATCTAAATAAAGAATAATATTTATTTGAAAATTGGCTGTAAAATATACAACTCTCAGAGGACAACAATTTAAGGATAGGATGACTTTGAAATGCATTAGATTAGTTTGGTGATTCGATTCGAATAAAAATCATTTCTTCCACCACGAAATCTACAGTTTCGGTTTCCACGCTTTATCAATGCTCGTGGTACCATCTCTGACAGTGATGATTTTGTGTCCACCTCGTTTGTCAACGCAGATCAGCAAATGACGTTCGATAGGATTATTTACATCCTCGTTTTGGATGATTTACGTTATGGGGCCAAACCAATACCATATGTATTTCAATTTGGGATGAAAATCATTCTACAGAGAGCATTACGTATGTCAACTGCGGCCCGTTCGCTTCTCGTAAGAATGTTCATCCTGTATTGGAGAGGAGCATCATCTGATTACAAAACAACCGTCACCCGGTTGTAGCTATCGTACGAAGATGTTTCGGTTTGAATCGCCTGAGGTGTCATTCGAACAGAGGATGATGTTTAGGTACAGTGTAGACAGGAAAGCAAACGAATATTTAAGCAGGCTGGTGCAGTAAAAATTTGTTTCGATTGTCATTCCAATTTCACTTTTCGGCCAAAGCAGAAGCAAAATTACCAGTTGAAGCCCCGACTCAAGAAAATTTGCAAGGATAAATCCCGTTAAAAACCTGCCTGGACGCCATCAAAAGATTTGCCGCACCTTCATCAAGAATTAAACGCAACTTCCACCCGTTGATTTTGAAAACCCCCGCACCAAGATGCCAAAGAAAGTCAGCTGCAATCCTTGCCCTCGGCCACTGTGTGTACCTTGTGGACCGTGTGGTCCATGTGTAAGTATTATCCAAGCAGTTTTATAAGGGTAGTTGTTTCTTGATTTTAATTTTTCCTCATCAGGGCCCCTGCGGACCATGCTTTGACTCATGCTGCCCTCCGGTATGTGGTCCGTACCAACCGTGCTTTGGAACATGCTCACAAGTAGGTTGTGCTCCTTGTGTTCCTTGTGGTCCCTGTGGTCCCTGTGGACCGTATGAACCACGTGGACCGTGTGAACCACGTAGACCATGCCTGCCCTATGGACCATGTGCACCAATGCCACCGTGTGGACCATGCGGACCTTGTGGACCATGCGGACCTTGTGGACCTTGCGGGCCGTATGGCATGTGTGGGCCTTGTGGACCGTGTGGCTCTGGTGGCCCTTGTGGACCGTGTGGCCCATGTGACCCTTGTGGCCCTTGTGGACCGTATGTACTATGCCGCGATTCAAATAATGGATGCTGAAGATGATCCCAAAATGAACAAATGGTGTTTTTTTTTTCTTCGTGAATAAAGATTGTTACAAAGAGAAGACAAATGTGTTTTCTCACCATGCAGACTCCTAAGCATCTTCGATGCTTGCTAATCAATACAATAAGGCCTATTCTGCACGGCGTGTTAGGTGAGGTGACTCGCTGTCACTAGAGAAGTGACAATTGTCACCTTGGGTGAGGTGACTCCCCACTTGATTTGCGCTCCACTCACTCCACTCACTCCACTCCAAATGACTCAATGAACCTGACTGTTTTGCGCACTGATTAGGGTAGTGTAGATTAGAGAGGGTATAGTATAAGAGAGGAGCGGACTGGACTGGCTGGTTTTTGGCCAAACGAACTGTCAAAGCCAGAGTCAATCGAGCAGCGCCTATCAAGATAACATTGGAAGTGTTACTAGAAACTAGAGAGGGTCTAGTAGGGTAGGATGGTGCAAAACGCACCCTTTAAGCAAAATCGTCAATGGCTGGCGAATGGAAGCTAAAATCAAGAAGAAAGTAATGGCGTTTGGTTCATTACCATGTTTTCTACAAAGATCGAGTGATTTAGAACTACAAAAGGATGATTTTCCATGACTTTCAAGGTATTTTCTAAATTGCTTCCAAAATGATAGCGGGTTAAAACGCCTGATTCATGATGCAACATTGGGACAAGACGCACGACAACAATGGCCAAAACGCACCACAACATTGGGGTAAAATGCACCCCATGGTAAACAAACCATAACCCCTGCAAGTATATAATGCAAAGGGATGCGGTATTTCAAATCAAGCATAACTTTTCAAAAGGACGTAAGTCGCAAAAATAAACAAATCGGTATTTTGCATCTAACCGAATATAAAATACATGCTTTTCCTACGAGTTAATGAAAAACAAGGTTTGAAATTGTAATGTATTATGGAAAATATATTTAATGAACGCCCTGTGTGACCTTTTTTCATTATTTTTAAAATGGTGTTGAAACACCCTTTTATTGTCAACATGACTTAACTGTTAAAATTTGATGATAACACAAAAAATGGATACGATGTCGCCTCTTTGTAAATTCAGGCTCTTTAGGTTGAACGATCTTCTTGTACCAATGCGCTGAAATGCAATTAAAATAGCTTCAGATTTCAAGCATAACTTTTTAAAAGGACGTATGTAACTTTGGATAGGAAATTAGAAACATTGGATAGCAATGTCTATATGAGATTATTAAATGCTATTTAAAAGTTAATGCTATTTTTTTAAATCTGTTTGTGCTATTAGTTGGATAAAGGGATAGCGTTTAAGAGAATTGTGAAAAATGTCGAGTTTTGCAAACACGGACAAGACTTTTGATAAAACAAAATCATACACCTTTTACTTGTGTACTACTCACATACACCCTGATTGATTCGTCGGTATCACACCTTGATTGTTACATACACCCTGCATGATTCGTCTATTTGACAGAAGGGTTTTCACATACGTCAAATCAGATACACCGGTTTTTGTTTTGCAGTGAAGATACGTCGGCAGCTCGAAAAGCATTGAGGAATTGTCGGTTGGTTGGTTTATTAACATAACTACCCAGAGTTGTGAAATAATCGATATTAAAAGCGGAGATGAGAGGGTCACCGCATTATCTGCTGTCAGATGTTATACGTTTTGTGTTTTTCGTATTAAGAAAGCGCTAGTCAGATTGGTATGTGAAGTTCAATATTAAAGTCAAGATTAAAGTGCAATTTTATTAGAATACTTCTGAAATAATAAACATGTTGCTCCCGGAAATACAAAAACAAGCATACAAACTTGACGCATTTGCTGATTGATAGTGGTTACTTTGTTTTTTTTTTCACATACGACGCTTCACTGTGAGCGTATCTGCATTTTTTGTGTTATCATCAAATTTTAACAGTTAAGTCATGTTGACAATAAAAGGGTGTTTCAACACCATTTTAAAAATAATGAAAAAAGGTCACACAGGGCGTTCATTAAATATATTTTCCATAATACATTACAATTTCAAACCTTGTTTTTCATTAACTCGTAGGAAAAGCATGTATTTTATATTCGGTTAGATGCAAAATACCGATTTGTTTATTTTTGTGACTTACGTCCTTTTGAAAAGTTATGCTTGAATTGCTTGAATTCCAATAAAGATCCTTATCTTTTGCCATGAATATCGTGATTTTCAGTGCCCGAAAAGATTTCTTTGACTTACCTCATCAACTCAAAACTGATACACAGATGGTTGCGGAAGTAGAAGTAGTCTAGCATGTGTATCACGTTGTATGCTCCGTCCACATCCTTCTTGCGCAGCTCATCCAATATCCGGACTTCGACCAGGGCCTGATGGTGGAAGCGTTTCTTATTGCGAATGATTTTGATTGCCACATGCTGGTTGGTTTTGTGGTCCAATGCCCGGATAACCTGTCCGAAGCTGCCTTTGCCGATGACCTCCAGGATTTCGTACCGATAGCAGACGTGGTCGTGGATCACCTAAGGAAGGAGGGAAGGATTTTTGTTTTCGTATTGAGAAATACAAGGCACAAGGGAAGTTTGATTTACTACCTTATTGTAACTGCCATTGTCATCATCGTAGCCCGAGTTAAGCGCTGTGCCAGGTTTGGCGTTTATCTTGCAGGCATCGAGACCCAGATAGTAGACCTCCGGATATTTCTCAATTTCCTGCTTCTCGTAGTCTGTCAAACGATTTCCGTGGTACTTGAGCGCTTCTGAAAAACAGAGAGAATATAGTGCAAGGTGAGTAAAGAACACTGGCGCGATTGATAGTTGTTTCTCTAAAAATGTATTCTTTGCCCAAATCAAGTTTCTGATTCGTTCAATGCTATATACGACATGTACTAGTAACCTCCAAAGGCTCAGTTGATAATCCTCCTGCATCAGGAATTCACACGAAGTAAGCTTCAGCGACGCTATTGCTGTATCTTATAGAAAATGTTTAACTTTCAAGGAGGCGTTCTTGCATGTACTCTTCTACTACGAGCATTTCTTCAAAACCTAACCAAATGCAATTTTACCGTCATGCCGACCGTGTGTAGGTAGCTTGTACTGGTTACTTTCCGGTAGTTCTCGTGCAAGAAAACCATGAATTATAAATATAACCACACAAGAAAGTTACTTCCCTTCGCTTCCGGCATCTAGAAGAGCATGGTGTTGTTAGTTTTGTATAATGCCATTGGAAGGTGTTGAAATATCTTCCTTCCAGCGAAATTGCACCAAGTTCCGTTTGCTCTTCCTGATGATTCGCTAGTTGCATGTGTACGGTGGATGAGTGGAGAAGCGGTAATTCAATATTTCCTCTGTTTACAAAACATGCTCTTCCTTTGAGCTGCATAATTTGTACTGCTGTTGCTACTGCTCTTTCATGGAAAAGTTTTACCATCATCGTCAACCGAGACAGCTGATGCTACTCTACAGTAGGTGAAGTGAAGCTATGACGAGCTTAATAAAGCTATGATGCGATGTCATGCGCTGAAGCAGCAAGTCAAATGAGCCTCGAAAGAACATTTATGAATTTTTGAAATAAGCTATCGTGCAACTCCATTGTAAAGCTTTCAACGAGAATTCGACAGCAATTACTCAATTCAACTATAAATCAACATAATTTGTTAATTGTCCGGGTAACGATCGCGATGAAGACACAAATCGTCCGACCACCAACATCACCCATTTTTCCCTACCACGCAGAGTACACCCACGCACGCACTCTCTACCAACCAGATATTGCCATCAATTACCGGTGCCCGTAAATTTATTATTTACGACGATTTATACACAGCCCTAGCGTGAGTATGTGTATTATCCATCCAACATAGGAATTATCGTCGTTTGGGCGGTCGACGTCAATTTTCCTAATGCATGAAACGTGGATCATATCGAGTGTCCTGGTGAATTTTTTCCCTGTGCTTGCTTCCTTTCGGAGTTTAACATTCGTATTAGAGCAATGGATGTTTTTTTGATACAAGGAATCAAAAAAGAATGGCAGCAAACAAAAAATGATAGGGCTGTTCGTCCTACACGGTCGAGCGCGTAATACGGTGCCTGTAGATGTTCTGAAACAGGTAGGGAAGGTAGTAGAAAGACAGTAGTAGGTGGTAAACAAAATTCCTTTCTGTGTATTGAATTGACTTTCGCTTTCGTCATCGAGTTGGGAGTCCACTGGGTGATCTAAGCTCCGAAATCGGTGCTATTCAATTCATGTCGCCAAAAATAGTCGTACAGGGTTGTATTAGATTTAAGCGAAAGATTACTAGTCTAGATTGTAATTGTTTACTCAAAGTATATAAAATATAATCGTTGTTAAGAAAATGTAAGAAGTTTTAAGAACTTTAGGAATTTAGTTATTTGAAAAAATCTTACCTCTCGAAGACTTCTCATACTCCCAGAGTTGTACAAAATCCATGAACTGTAGGAAGTATCGCCATTCCGAGAGCTCCACAAATTGTAAAATCTTCGGAAATACTGTCCTCTAAATTTCCAAAATTCTCGAAACTACAGCTAGATCAGAGCGCCACCGTGACCTTTCGCATACGCCGGAAAAAAGTATGCATTGAGAAAATGGCAGTTGAAGCAACCGGTGAACACTCGTGTTTATTTCAGTTACCGTGGCGACGTAATTTTTGATTAGCCCCGGTCCCTTTCAAATTGTGTCATTATTTATGTACGGTCCTTATATTTGAAATGACGTTTCACATTCATCAAGGGATGGCCGATTTTCATTCGAATAATTGATAAATCGATTAACGAACCGAAAAGTAAAATATATGTAATCGGTTATATAGGATAGGATCATCACCACCGATCGTTTCAAACATGTGCTGCACTCTTATTGGTTGAAAAATGGCAGCACAGCGAACAAAAAATAATCGAGTTATTAAAAAATGGGACATCCCTGACTTTGGTGTGTTTGTTTTGATAAAAATGAGCGCAAAATTTCATCTCTACCAAAGGGGCAGCAAAACCACAAAATTACCTTGAATACGGGGGTATTCATTGGATGAAAGGGACCGTGAAAGAGGACACTAAAATAGAAAGTTTTTCTTCCGACAGTTTCATCTTAGTATTCATCTTTGGTTGAAGTTACGAAGTGCAATTCCCATGTACATATATTAAAAATTATAGTTAATTAATTGATACTGTTTTCAATTTGAAATCATTTATAATAAGCTTGAATGTTTTGTTATAAAGGGTGATACGGTCAAAATTTGGTCAAGGGAAAACGCGTGTAAATCGGTGAAATCGTTTATTTAAAAAATCAAATTAAATTTCTTTTTCAAGTTCAATTAGTATAAAATTCAGGAAAAATATTCAGTTAGGCTTCCGCTTTTCCAAATCCGAATTGCCGGGCCTTACGCTTGACCCCTGCCATCAGATTTTGTACAGCCACCTTGTCCACTTTCTTCGCCGCAGAAAGCCAGTTTGCCTTGAACTGCTGCTCGCCCTTAGCAGTTTTTTTGGTCTTCTTTAGGTTCCGCTTGACAATAGCCCAGTATTTCTCAATTGGGCGGAGCTCTGGCGTGTTGGGAGGGTTCTTGTCCTTGGGAACCACCTGCACGTTGTTGGCGGCGTACCACTCCATGGCCTTTTTACCGTAATGGCAAGATGCCAAATCCGGCCAAAACAGTACGGAACAACCGTGTTTCTTCAGGAAAGGCAGCAGACGTTTATTCAAACACTCTTTCACGTAAATTTCTTGGTTGACAGTCCCGGAAGCTATGAAAATGCTGCTTTTCAAGCCACAGGTACAGATGGCTTGCCAAACCAGATATTTCTTTGCGAACTTTGACAGTTTCATGTGCTTGAAAACATCTGCTACCTTTCCCCTTCCTTTTGCCGTATAAAACTCCTGTCCCGGAAGCTGCTTGTAGTCGGTTTTGACGTAGGTTTCGTTGTCCATTACCACGCAGTCAAACTTCGTCAGCATCGTCGTGTACAGCCTCCGGGATCGCGCTTTGGCCGTCGTATTTTGTTTATCATCGCGATTTGGAGTCACTACCTTCTTGTAAGTCGATAGTCCGGCTCGTTTTTTGGCTCGATGCACGGTTGTAGACGATACACCCAGCTTATTTGCGGCATCTCGGAGAGAGAGGTTAGGGTTTCGCTTGAAACTACCGGCAACTCTCTTTGTCGTCTCAGCGGCTTCCGGTTTTCGATTTCCTCCCGATCCAGACTTCCTGGCTGTCGACAAACGTTCCCCAAACACTTTAATTACATTTGTAACGGTTGATTTGGCAACTTTTAGCGATTTTGCCAACTTTGCGTGCGAGTAGCTCGGATTTTCGCGATGCGCGAGCAAAATTTTGATACGCTGCTCTTCTTGCTTGGACGGCATTTTGACAACTGAAGAGTGAATTCCAAAATCAAAATAGGAGCAACATTCTACACACACACACCTTCAAAATAAGGGGTGTTCAGGTTTTTTAAATGCAAAATTGAAAGAAATACGTCAAGTTGATATTGACCAAATTTTGACCGTATCACCCTTTATCACCGAAAATATGGTGATCCAAAAAGCAGAACTGTACAAGGGGTAATCAACTCTGCACATTGTGCCGAAACACATCATGGCACACTGATCGGTGCATCATGGCACACGGCGACAAGTATGATTTTTTTTCCTTTGGTTTGTTTTTTCCGTCGATCTTGTTTTCCGTGCTGAGCACCAATGCTACCGACGTGCCAGGAAGGCAGCTCCCACACCTGGACCCTACCTATTGACCCATCAACTCATGAACCGGGGACCAACGGCTTTACTTCCCATCCGAAGGAAGGCGTGATCAGAGATGTTATGCCTCAGAACATCCCGGCGGCGCCGACTGGGATTGAAGGCCTGCTGGGGTGAGAGGTAATCACGCTTACCACTACACCACCGGCGCCGTTGACAAGTATGATGCAAAATATAATATAAAATGGCATCACTGTTTTGTGTTGTGATTTTGCCAATCGTTGCTAAGGATTACTTCAAAGTAAGGGGAAAAGGAATTTATGTGTTAGTGCCATTTTCCAGCGAAATTGCCCCCAATCATAATAAGAGATTGTATAATTGACGAGACTTTCTTTGTCCTTATGCCTTCTGGGGGATGAACCTCTACAGAAAGTCCACACGGCATTTAATAGATGTTCATAGCTTCAGGGAAGTCCAAACGAACTAGTGAGAGTCACCACACCAGAATTAACTAGAATTAAGTATTAACTCGATGGCCATATGATCCGGACCGAGAGTCAATTGTATAGGTAATGAGCATTGCAGCGATAATGTGCAGTGTCAACAACACCACGGTGCCGAACCATTCTTTAGATGTATCTGCAATCGCAGCTGTTACTCCCACAGAACACTCCGGTACGATTTCTATGGGCTGAACTCGGATTCGATTAACAGTGGAGGTCTCTCTACGCTCTTTCGCCACTGACTGATAGCAGAAATAGTTTTCAATGAGATGTCACAGGAAGATTTTTTTGCTCTCAATTTTGATTTTAACCGTTAAAACGACCAAAACGATAGCAACCTGAGTAATCATTATCAGCGAAATCACAACATCAAATTTAGATTTCAATTTGATCTCAGACTTTGCTCGGGACTGCAGGTGTATTGCTGCTACTAAAACCGCCGGTTTGCATTTTATATCGAGTCCTTCATATTTTCAGATTGTAGCATTGCCCGAGTAGCATGACGATATTGCAGACAAGATTCATGTTCCACTTGCCAGTTGGG